ATGCATTTTCATGTAAATTTTTAAATTTGTATGAAATACATTACATTATATAACGAATTGTAGGACTTACAGCAGTACGCCTACAACCCTTCAAAGGTTGACGCTCTAGGTTGGAAAGTCGTCGCAGAGTTCATTTGCTTACTTCCCTCTATCAGCTATATCCTCAAATCTGAACGGTAAGACGCTCATGTCATTGTATCGTAGAATATAGATGACGAACAAACACACGACATATCTCATCAACCAAGTGTAGAAACAGAGTAATCTACACCAAAGATAATAGCATTCAAATAGTAACTTGAAACTAGAAATGCCTTTATTCACGCAAGTCAATTTAACAATTACTCTCTCGTTTACACTTGGCTTATCCTCACTAAACTGAGCAGTATCTTTCGTCTTTTCAAACGCACCAATACTATCATAGTCATTGCACAAGATACTTGAGTTGATGGGTGTCTTTTTCATTGTGGATGACAACACCAACGACGACTGATTGATATCAGTTGGTGAAGTTAGCGGTGGATCAAAAGCTGTTGTTGCTCGGCCTTCAGAAATTTGTCTACCTGCAAGACTACCACCACTGCTGTCTTTTTACTATCAGCTCAGGTTTAGCACTAGCATCTGATGATAGGTGGCCTACATGCTGATCAATCACACTGACGGTCTGACAAGTATGCATGCCTTCTGCAACTGCATCTGCATTCAATTCTACTTCACGTTGTAGTTGTACAGAACCTTTGTTCAACTTAGCAGTAGTAGGCATTCCCCTCATTTCATCATGATCAACCAAAGACAACTGTGAAGTATCATGATCATTATCACAAATATTCCATTTACCGTCATCTATCTGGTCGACTTCATCATTTTCAAACTCTTTATTAACAGAAGTGGATGATTTACGTTCTTCCTCACTGTCAGTCACGTCTCGTAAACCGTCAATGCCCAGCTCTTGCTACACTGGGACTCACGCTGTTCCTTGAAGTTTCTCAGAAACGCTTATTGATAACGGACGCGAATACCAAAACACCGATTGGCCACTCGAGAATTCTTTATTGTAACACCAACATATAAAAAATGTTATCATTAAGGTCTGTGAACAAATATTACAATAATAAATCAGAATATTACTTCTGACGGTTTTCTGCTGACTTCTTTCTGAACAGCGACCGATGAAACGATGACTGTCGTATTGATGTCTCCGCGAAAATTGGGGAAGTTGTTTTTGAGCAAACAACCATGAATTGATCGTTAAATCTTCAACTACATTGACACTCACAAATCCCTAAGTATTTTATACCTTCACTCTGACTAGTAATATTTTGTAAACTTGTGGAGTCAGAACTGCACTCTGAAGCAGTAAGTCTATTCTGTGACACTCTATTCAACAATGGCTTACTAATTGCAACTGCGGGTTTCTTCACCGCGCTATTATCGTCACACAATTCGGAGTCAGACCTTGATTTCACATTTAGCTTATCACTGAACTTGCTCACCGAATCACAGTTCACCTTTTTATGCACTTCTTGCAAACGCGTAAAACACAATCGCGTTTGTCTTGCATCTTATAACCTTTCTGATGAGGATGTACCACGAAACCTGTTACACTCACTAGGTCTATATGCATTACTAGACATCATGGAGCCTTCTCGATATCCACCTCTCTGAGGCCTATTCGTCATCAATGATTGCATTTTGCTCTCAGACTGCTCTATTCTAGGGGTGAGATACAATATACTGGCAAACATGCTCATAGATTCATTGACACAAGTATTTACCAGTTTCAGGATATCATCAAACTTTGGCTCGATACCCTCATCCTCCATACGGGAGCTCATCTTCACCCACTTCCTTTGCAGTCGAGTAGGTAGGCGTCATCTATCTGGTCGACTTCATCATTTTCAAACTCTTTATTAACAGAAGTGGATGATTTACGTTCTTCCTCACTGTCAGTCACGTCTCGTAAACCGTCAATGCCCAGCTCTTGCTACACTGGGACTCACGCTGTTCCTTGAAGTTTCTCAGAAACGCTTATTGATAACGGACGCGAATACCAAAACACCGATTGGCCACTCGAGAATTCTTTATTGTAACACCAACATATAAAAAATGTTATCATTAAGGTCTGTGAACAAATATTACAATAATAAATCAGAATATTACTTCTGACGGTTTTCTGCTGACTTCTTTCTGAACAGCGACCGATGAAACGATGACTGTCGTATTGATGTCTCCGCGAAAATTGGGGAAGTTGTTTTTGAGCAAACAACCATGAATTGATCGTTAAATCTTCAACTACATTGACACTCACAAATCCCTAAGTATTTTATACCTTCACTCTGACTAGTAATATTTTGTAAACTTGTGGAGTCAGAACTGCACTCTGAAGCAGTAAGTCTATTCTGTGACACTCTATTCAACAATGGCTTACTAATTGCAACTGCGGGTTTCTTCACCGCGCTATTATCGTCACACAATTCGGAGTCAGACCTTGATTTCACATTTAGCTTATCACTGAACTTGCTCACCGAATCACAGTTCACCTTTTTATGCACTTCTTGCAAACGCGTAAAACACAATCGCGTTTGTCTTGCATCTTATAACCTTTCTGATGAGGATGTACCACGAAACCTGTTACACTCACTAGGTCTATATGCATTACTAGACATCATGGAGCCTTCTCGATATCCACCTCTCTGAGGCCTATTCGTCATCAATGATTGCATTTTGCTCTCAGACTGCTCTATTCTAGGGGTGAGATACAATATACTGGCAAACATGCTCATAGATTCATTGACACAAGTATTTACCAGTTTCAGGATATCATCAAACTTTGGCTCGATACCCTCATCCTCCATACGGGAGCTCATCTTCACCCACTTCCTTTGCAGTCGAGTAGGTAGGCGTCATCTATCTGGTCGACTTCATCATTTTCAAACTCTTTATTAACAGAAGTGGATGATTTGCGTTCTTCCTCACTGTCAGTCACATCTCGTAAACCGTCAATGCCCAGCTCTTGCTACGCGGGGACTCACGCTGTTCCTTGAAGTTTCTCAGAAACGCTTAGTAATAGCGGACGCGAAACCGAAACACCAGTGGGCGACTCGAGAATTCTTTATTGTTACACCAACATATATCCAACTTAAAATTAGGATTTAGCTAAGGTTTCTGACAGATTTGGTCTGACTTCCTTGTGAACAGCGACCGATGAGACGATGACTGTCGTATTGATGTCTCCGCGAAAATTGGGGAAGTTGTTTTTGAGCAAACAACCATGAATTGATCGTTCAATCTTCAACTACATTGACAGCGTTATTTGCAGTTACTTAATTGGTAGCTTGGCGGTTTCTGATTGGGGCATTCAGCATTTTTTTGTTTTGACACCACCAACTAACAGTATTTTTCACTAGCTACTAATTAGCAGGTAATAAATGATTTGCTCTCTTTTCTTACAATAAAAACTAGTGATACAGCATGAACGGAGAGCTTGTTGACAATCACTGAGTGTCATAGATCTTGTCTAATTTCGGAATGAGATATATGTGCTGTGATGCCATGGTGGTTCTCTGAACACTCCGAAATGTCACCTTATCACAAGTGTATGAGGTATAGCAGTTAGTCATTTATAATTTTTCTGTTAGACCACTCGACATCTGTTGTGGTGGTCGGAGACCAAGGAATGCAGTAAAATTGAATCGATTTTCCAGGAAATCGTCTGCTCACCAGAGACCCTATCTCTCATATACTGTCGGTTTTAGCTAGTGCATTGAAGCCCTTGATGATTCTTGGAGTCAAAGTGGAAAACATCTAGATAATAGAAACGGTCGAGGTTGCATTAAAGACTTAAGCATGATAGCTGTAACAACTTTGTTTGCAGACTTTGTCTCTCTAAGAGTAGTGGAAAATCCAAGGAGTCATTGTGTTCAAGTTTGAAACGCTCGGAAATATATGGAGTTCTCAAGGTGTTAGTAGTCAAATGCTCAAGAAATTCATTCTCCATCTTTTGAGTAAGGAGTAGGTTTAAGGAGCATATGGTTTAATACCAGAAGCCATGGGAGACAAACATATTAAATGTAATAATACAGTTTACATCAAATGTATAATGAGTTCCTAGGAGTTCAGTGAGATGGGTTTAACTAAAAACACGTAGCCATGAGGCCCTACACAGGTTAAGGATTGAGAGGAAATAGGACAGAAGTTTGGAGACCTGATGGAAAAACATTTGAGAGCCAAGCGAGAGGACAAGTAATGCGAACAGTCTCTCACAAATGATGCCACGTGGTTATTATATCGTCCCGCAAGCTAAGGTAGCTGAATTTGCAATCACCTGACTTTATCAGTCTGTTTTTGTCGAGCTTATTGGACTATGGGGCAATATAATCAGCTGAACCCCGTTTGAGGCTAACACTTTTAAAATAGGTTATTACACCAAGAAAGCTCATCATTTAAATTACTTTCAGGCATGAACGATTGAGTTACGCGCTTATATGCCTATTTCCCTTGCAATTTTGTTCGCTTCCGCAACATCTAACTTTCTGATGAATAGAAAGCCAGACTAAGAATTGGAAATAGGGGTGGGTGAGTAGTTTCGCTTCGGGCTGTTTCGTATGGACTTGAATTAATTCTACATATATCATGGGACGCGAATTTTTAGTGCTGTTGATGACTTCAATCTTGCATTATTCAGATAATCTCTAGAATCTTCGTCAGTTTATTTGGTGGCGAAGGCTTTTCGTATCATGCACCGGCATATATTACACAGATCAGTATCTGTTCACAGAAAATGAAATGTATCTCAGACTTTCTGAGCTAAACTAAGCTGCTTAGTCAGCAGTGATATATATTAATTAGTCCTGTATTCTGCGACACTAACCACGGTTTAGGCAATGCTCATTTGATTGAGATATTAATTTTGAAATACATTGCTCACATGATATGACCGTCAGTGTGACTGATTATTCTCTATGACAGACATATTTTCATCCTACTTGTTTCATGTTGTTTATTGATACTACTGAACACCGTAAGTCAAATCTACCGCACTTTTGATTATTGGGGTTACTAGCACGCCTGGACCGAGTTTCTCAGAATGACCATATCAGGAACCCTGTATACTCCTCAGGGATACCACAGATCCTGGAGAGCTCAGATAGCTGCTCAGTTTAGTGGTGCGACCTTAAAGATAGTGAATTTCGTCCCCGGTGAAACAGACACTGATAAGTCATTCTTGGCTAAATTCCCTCCGTCTACTGTCCCAGTATTCGAGGCACAAGATGGGACATGCCTATTTGATGTGAATGCTATCGCGTATTATTTGGGAACCAATCAGCTGAGAGGTGGGTCAATTATCACACATTAACCACAACACTAGGTGGTCAGAATTCAAATTTCGTTACTCAGTGGGCCAACTATGCAGACAACTGCATACTCCCGTCCGTCGCAACATGGGTTTATCCGTGTCTTGGTATCACACAGTTCAACAAACAAAACACAGAGAAGGCTAAAAGTTCACTTTTGTCCGTTCTTAAGTTTTTGAATGAACAGCTAAGCAAGGTGTAAGTTTCACATCATCCTTTTTATTTAAAGCAGAACTTTCCTTGTAGGTGATCGGTTGTCTCAAGCTGACATAACCGTATTCACAGCATTGCACCCGTTGTTTACTCATGTTTATGAAGAGAACGACCGAAAGCCTTTCCCCCATGTTATACGTTGGTATACCACTGTTGGTAACCAGCCGGAAGTGATTAAAGTGGTTGGAAAGTCATCGTTTTGTGTTAAGGCTGCCCAGTTTGATGCCAAAAAGTATGCTGAGTTACACGGAAAGGTAGGTTCAAATTAATATTGTTAATGTCGAAGGTCACTGAGACTAAGCCACCCAAAGAATCAAAAGAAAAACCCAAGAAGGAAGCTGCTGCCAAAAAAGAGGCTCCTGCTAAAAAGGAAAAACCTGCTGCCAATGATGATGAAGAAGAGGAACGCCCAAAGCCTAGTAAAAATGCTCTTGCAAATCTACCCGCTGGAAAGTTTGACATGGATGCCTTTAAAAGAGTGTACAGTAACATGGACATCGAGAAGGAAGCGATTCCTTACTTCTGGAGTAATTTTGACCCCGAAACGCACTCCATTTGGTATTGTGAGTACAAGTACCCTGAGGAGTTATCACTGGTGTTTATGACATCTAATCTTATTGGTGGCTTTTTCCAACGAGTAGAAAAGTAAGTATATGTAGATACGTGTTGTCGTTGTTGTTGTTACGTACTCGTAATTGTTTTTAGAGGTCACTAATCAAGTGCGAAGGTACTTATATACTCTTTTATATGTCTTTATTGTTCAGCTGATTATTGTTTTAGCACTGTATGCTTTTCGCCTTTCATGACATTTTCTGTATAACTCTTTTATTCTCAGGATGAACAAGTATGCGTTTGCTAGCATGTGTATCTTTGGAGAAAACAACAATAATACCGTTGGTGGTCTTTGGATTTGGCGTGGTACTGGTCTTGCCTTTGAACTAGATGAAGATCTTCAAGTTGACTACGAGTCTTACAACTGGCGAAAGCTAGATCCTCAAGCTGAAGAAACAAAAAGTCTTGTTCACGATTACTTCACACGCAAGTTTCAGGACAGACCATTTAACCAGGGCAAAATATTTAAATGAAAATAAAGTGTTTTGTCTTGCTGGTTGAACTGCTTGACTTTTCGGTTACTTTGTGAAAATCCTTGTGGTTTTTGACGGTGAATGTTAAGCGGGTAATATTCCCAGCATTTACCGTTGTTGTTGGTAATAGTTCATTAGTGATAATACTGAGCGTACATACTTTTATAACCAAGGCAGTCCAGTCTCGAACTGTTTCCGCATCACCTGTCTACGTATTCGCTTTCAACCTAACGGTATCATCTGCATTACTCCCGAGCCTTGCTGTGAATTAACGCAGACTAGATGAGAGATAACGCAGTGCATGTAGTCCATTGTAGGTACGTCATCACGACAACTAAAGTAGTTAGTCACTTTTTGAATCTGGAGTTGTTATTGTGGTTGTCCGGGGAAGTCGTCCGAAGAAACAGGTAACTAGTGTGATGTAATAACTGTATAAACTACATAATTCTAATCGTTTATATGTGCTGTGTCTGTCTGTCTGTTTTCGACATAGAACTTTGCACAAATGTGCGGAAGTTCAAGTCGCCACATTCCGTGTAGCACGCGAAGCAAGAGAAGAAAGTACAAGAAAAGCATAATAGAAACAGTGAGCAGAGGTGTGATACAAAGGAGTAGTAAAGAAATACAAAACAATTTCATTGAAGATCATAAGTCACAGGGAGCAGATGCATCTGCGCCACTGAGAACGATTTTGAGCCATGTCACCAATTGTTTCCAACCATAGATTTTTACCGTCCCGAGGACCCCAGCCTGGAAGTCTACACCTTTCTACGTGGTTTAGACCAACTGTTGTGGATTTCATTGACTGATGCCAAGTTTTTGTCTGACCGCCTCTAGCTTTTTTCCAGCCTGACCCTATATCCGCTAACATTGCTCGTCGAGGGAGGCGATGGCTTGGCATACGTAACACATGTCCTAACCATCTCAGTCTTTGTAGCTTCACGACTTCGTCGATTGATTTCCCCTGTTTACCTAGAACTCTACGCCTAACCTCCATGTTGCTCACCTTATTATGCCACTTTACACGGGAAATAGAACGCAGGCACCTATGATCAAAGACAGCTAGTCTTTTCATGTCTTCCACTCTCAGTGGCCAGGTCTCACAACCATAAAGGAGGACGGAGCGGACTGATGAGCAGTACACCCGCCCTTTGGTCGATAGTCGAACATCTCGTCTACACCACAGACGGCGTAAACTAACAAATGTGCTGTGTAAGACTGAGGTATCAGCAACGGATATGAATCACGCTAGGCTTGGTAATGACAGGTTTTATTGGTATCCGTAAACATTTGAAGTTCCAATGGTTGAGTTGGTTGATCAGCATAACGCAAAGTAAAGTTGACAGACAATTTAACCAATCGTACTGCGCCTCGTTTCCATGTGAATCAAGTTATGATAGGAGAATTTTTGTGGAGTTTTATGGTGACTTATTGACATGTGACTGGAGCATTGATAAACAAACACACCTTGAAGTCTGTTAGGCCTGATGGTATGATCTCTTTGTTATTAACTGGAAAATGTTTCAAATACAAACAAATTAACTAGGAATTATATACCACCACAGCGCTGAAGGCATGCGCATGTGCTAAGATTTTGTGGACTTAGTCTCCTAGCATCCGTTTCGTTTCACTCTCCTTGATTCTCAAATGTGAGGTATGCAAAGTGGACTACGAGGGGTAAGTAAATAGTTACATACTAATTGCGCCGAACAGTCTTTTTGAGGAGCACTCCAAACTTAACAAATAATCATTGTAATTTTGAGTGCGAAATTATTTGTAATCAGTAACAATTAACTATGTGAGAATTTAATTCAACGACCAGAGTGACTTTTGTGTTTGAACACTATTTTCTCTAAGTGGAGTGAAATTTGTTTGAGAATAATGGAAATACCATCTTCCTGATTATGAGAGCCATGTATCACTAGTGGATAGGTGTACACTAGTTGGAGTAAGGATCTTATGATTAAAGTTTTATATGTGATCGGCTAACTGCTTATCGTTTTTAGGGAGTTTCTTTACCTTCAAATAATCAGTATGAAGTACACTTTAGTTGGTACCGTTAGCGAAAACTTGTCTGTACGTTTTTTAAAACTTAGTATCGTTAGTTTATTGCCGAGTAAGTGGTTACTGTAGAAATAAGTAGTACGTATTCACTTGAGTGCATACTCACTTGTTATACATAGTCCCATTGATGAAGTCGAATAAAATTGTTGCACAATCAAGTAACAACAAAATATGAGTCCTAATGAATGCAACATTTCTAGTCTATTGGGTTTTTTTCTCATTACTTGCATCCTGAGGGGAACACGAGGCTTCAAGCCTTGAGATTTCAGCAGAAGGGTAGGGTCCTTAGTCCTACGCCCAGATTTCTCTCTTTCTTAGGCGTGCAGTCGGCTAGAAAATTAGGCGAAGCATAAAATATCTCTGCATGACATACTTTCAGGCAAATAGTTAAGTTCATGCATTTATTCCCCCTGATGAATTTGAACAAAGCAAGGACAACAGTGGTTTGTGCAGAATAATACGATATCATCATTTATTTCGTTGCCTTCTCATCAGCTAATTACAGCCTAAATAAATTATGAGGTTTATGTACAGAAAATTTTTAACATACCTGCAAATGTTACATGATGTCACTTGACAGGAGGTTCCGCAGTTCGTGAACAGTATACAGAAAATTACACTTATGTAGTTTTGGCACAGGGAGTTCAAGTTTAAACAAAATAAATGTATGCATACAATGGTAAAGGAGTTGCGTAATAAAGACGAGAGATGTGTAAGATGCTGAGTGACTAATAAATTGGGTAACAGTGACTGAGTTCAACTGAAATTATAGGAACAGGAGACAAGAAATATCACATTATATCAAAGGGAGGGGGCTTCAGGTTAAAGCCAAAGATTATGTAATGAAATGAAAGAAAGAATAAAGGCATCTAGTTACCAGGGTAAGGAAGGACTGATAGCTACTTCTTTCTGAACACACAAACTTGGTTTCAAGCGTTTGATGGAAATTGCTTCGGCAAACTTGAGGAGAATCGAGCTCCTTTGTTTATCAATAATTTTAAAGGATTTCGTGATTTCCACATCATGACCCGTACCGAGGAGATGTCTGGTAATAGCGCTATTATAAGAGTTTGTTCCCTTGAGGCGTAGGCTTTTCGGCACATGTTCAGAAAATCGGAGGTGTACCCTTCTTTGTGTTCTCCCAATGTAACTGCTCCCGCAGATACACGTTAATTTGTATACACAGTTGGAGTTAATATGAGAAGGGTATCTGTCGGTATTTGACTGTATGTTATTCGATGGACAGGAACCAACTTGGCTTCAGGATAGACTGTGGGTAATGACGTACTCAGTCTTCTGTTGACTATTGCTGTAATGTTTTTACCTTTAAAATCTATTTGAATGAAGATAGGCTTTTTTCAACTGTGATTTGTTTGATGTATAAGCCTTCACATCTTCCATATTTGTTAATGAATCTTTCGGGATAATCGTTGTTTTTCAATAACTTTTAGACGGTAAAGTGTAATAGTGTCAACAATTTCATTACCCACCTATTTCATTAACACCAAAATTACTCAATTTCAATGAAGAACTGTACCAATACTTCTGTTAAGCGTAAAAAGATATCAAGGGAGCTCAAAGTCGATTATAGATATAATTTTATCTTCAATATTAGAAAAATTGTGTACCTAAGGGTGAAAATATTGATTGCATAATGTTCTTCAACCTTCAGTATTTTATACTGAGTCCTCTGTCATCAATCTAGGTGAATTAATTAGAATTTTTTTGTAAAGAGTGTTGTCTATCTTAATGTTTACTATTGAAAATTGATTTGATGGTCTGTAGTAACTGGCTACAGGACGAAGTTGTTTGGAGTTCTAGTGAGATGTCCTGATCAGTGAGGTCCACCCAGCATATGACATTCGCTGGTGTCAGTGGCGCTAAAATCACGAATTGGTAGAAGTTAGCATTGCGTCAGTGCTGAAGAGTCTCGAGCTAGATTAAGACATCTGTCTAGTACTCGGTGGTCCTCTAACTAATATCAACCTGTGATCCAACTTAAAATTAATTAATTAATTTGATTATTTCGGTTTCACTTCCTCATCCTTGGGGTATATAAGAACTAATTTACTTGGCTATCACAGCTTCATACTCAATTTAGTCTACTAACTCATAATATGTGACTTTTTATTCAGAACGTATCTATTTACTATGTTGTTGATTGGTCTGATTTCGACAAACACTTGAAACTACAAAAATTTCAAAGAATAATTTTTGACTGACTTATATAGTTGCTTTATTTTTTCATAACGCGTTAAGCTGTCTGACCTCAATACTTTTTGGATCGTAATGAAACAAAGCTGTTTTTAGTGAAAGTTTGACCTTTGTTTAGTTACTTAGTTGATTAATTTTCTTAGAGAGAAATTTTCACTTGTTCTCCCGCTGACAATCATTGACTGAAGCACTATGTTACACTTAATTTGTTCCTCACAACTGCTTATTAAAGAATGTATGATTACTGGATAATGCTGTGATGTTTGAAATGATAAGAAGCAGCATGGAGATGAGTACTGGAGGTATGGCATATTTATTCATGAGTAGGTAGCTATATGTTTCATGTGTTCTTCTAGGCATCCTGTAAGGGGCTTATTCCTCTTATGTGCGTCGGTGGCACAATGGTTAGGACTCTCACCGACCATGCACATGGTCCGAGGTTCGATCCCCTGCCGACGCACACCTGATATCTATGGTCGGCCTGTAAAATTTGGGCTACCGATATCCATTCTGAAAATTCCATACTTGTACCAAAAATACAGTGTGGAGTCAAGCTGTAATCGAAAAAAAATAAATAAATAAAATGAAAAAATATGCGACCCTTATGCTCAAGTGTAATCTTTCTGATGACTTGTAATTCATGTAGAGACATTTGGATGACTGTGAGCTCTTTTAATCCAGATCATGTGTTTTTTATTTTGCTTACCATCTTGGCTATTTAACAACGAAATTCAGTACTATCATACTGGGGAAATTAGCAGTCGTAAGACAGAATTACAAAGACTCTAATTCAAACAAATAAACTAAGGGCAATTAAATGCATGTACAAATCTGAAACAGTTTGCAATAGAACTAGGAATACGCCAAACTCTTATACACTATTTTTATTTGTTTTAATGCGTATATATTCGTGTTTACCTCCTCTCATCCC